TCATCAGAATCTCTCTCTTACTCTCTCTCTCTTTACCGCCCCCGGCAACAACGTTTTCACCGCCAGTAACAACGTCTCTTCCACTGCTGCGCCGCCTCCACCGCTGCACCGTCTTTGTCTTCTACCATTGCATCTCTCTCTGTTCTGTGTTGCCCCGGCCTCCATCGACAGAAGCTTCGCCCGAAAGAGCACCTTCGACGCACTTATCGCTCACTTCTCCCACTTGCGCTGCCTTGACGAAACCCGATCGCCACTACTTCGCAGAGTCGTCGCTAGCTCACGGTGTTGTCACTGGCTCCGGCATTGTCTTCACCACTCATAGAGGCACTCCGGTTGGCCAAATTTATCTGTAGTGATAGATCCATGCCCATCTGCGACGGCAGATTCATGCTTCATTCTTTTCTCTCTCTCTGTTTTCTCTCTGATCCATGCTCCATTCAGTTCTCTCTCTCTCTCTCTCTCTCTCTCTCGTTAGTTTTTAAAAAAATATCTATGCTTTATTTGCTACAAATGTCATTTGTTTGATACGATTATGTTTCATTTAGAAATAGAAAAAATTAAACAGATAAGATGATGACAATGATGATAAAGATGATTTGAACAGATATGTTAAAAAAAAAGCTCAAGATATGTGTGTGTGTGTGTGTCTATCTGTTTGTGTGTTTGTATTTTTTGTTGGTGTGGTGTTGTAGTGAATAATTCAAACAGACAGAAAATAAGTTTGTGAAATTGTAAACAAATATTTCTATTTTTCAAACAGATAGAGAGAGAAACTCATGGATTATGAACAGATATAGAAAAAAATTCAACAAATAGATAAAAATTTGAACAGATAAGCAAAATTTGAATTGAAGGTTAAAAAATTAAACAGATGGGGTAAAAAAATTGAACAGATAGGGTAAAAATTTGAACAGATAGTCAACGAAAAGTCAAACAGATAAAAATTTCAAGAGGTATTGAAAAAAAAATGCCTTACAAGACTTTTCACCAAATTATTTCACAAAGCAAATAATTTTGTGAAATTGTAAACAAGTAGATTAGACAGAAAATAAGATAGGGTAAAAAGGTTAAAAAAGACAGAAAATAAGTTTGTGAAATTGTAAACAAGTAGATTAGACCTTTGTATTTTTCAAACAGATAGAGAGAGAAACTCACGGATTATGAACAGATATAGAAAAAAATTCAACAGATAGATAAAAATTTGAACAGATAAGGAAAATTTGAATTGAAAAGGTTAAAAAATTAAACAGATAGGGTAAAAAATTTGAACAGATAGGGTACAAATTTGAACAAATAGTCAACGAAAAGTCAACAGATAAAAAATTCAAGGGGTAAAATTGGAAACAAAATGCCTTACAGGACTTTTCACCAAATTATTTCACAAAACACGAACTGTCACCAATAAAAAATATCCATTAAATCTAATGCTTTAGACCTTCTCTAAATTTAATTTATCACCAATTTTCTCTTAAATTTACCTTAAATGTTAGTATTAAAGCATCACCCATAGGACAAGCATTAAGAATATTTTGGGCATTTTTGTTAACCTTGTCACAAAATGAACTCCAACAGAATAGACAACACAGTAGCCATTTTGTCTCATTCTCTCTTAGCAAACTACATTTTGACGGTCTTGGAGACTAGACAGACTAATTTCAAAAATAGAGAATATTGTTGGAGTATATATATACTTAGTACAGCAATGGTAGAGAGCTCAAATTTTGTGGCTCAAATGTGGCTCAAATGGTCAAAACGACGTCGTTTTGAATACAAAACAACATCAAAATGGCCAAAACGACGTCGTTTTGGCCATTTGAACCATATTTGAGCCACAGAATTAGGGCCCCCAAACATTTTTCTACTTAGTAAAGTGGTTTAAAAAATTGACAATGTATTTTTTTTAATATTTGTTATTACAACAAATTTAGTAATGTTGGAGTTTGTTTTTTATGGAGAAAGATGCATAAAGCCTATGGAAAAAAGATGTGCAGTGCAGCCATAATTTGCTGACCTTAGTGCACATGAAAGGACAAACACTACATGATGGAATGAGATAAGTGAATGGCATGTGCAATTTGACAAAGCACATGCTTAAATTTCATGTTCTGTGAGATGCACTTATTCCAGAATGGGTAAGCATTGCTTCTTATATATATATATTATATGTATGGGTAAATTACACTTTGCACCCTGGCCAATCTACATCTATTTCTACTTTGTCCACTATATCTTCTGATCTTCTGAGTGTCGTTTTCAACCCCTTAGATTTCAAATCAAGTAGCAATTAGGCCCAATCTTATAACGACATTCCAAAAATTGACGGAAGAATCAAAATGTAGGGATTAAAATGAGATTTAGGTAAAAACGTCGGGATGCTAAGTGTAACTAATACTTTCATGCGGTTGTTCTCTGTTAGCTTTTGAAACAACATTAATAAATGAGCCAAATTGTAACTCTTTGACTCGAAATCTAAGAGATTAACTAAGACAATTAAAAGGTTAGAGGGTAAAGTGAGATTGAATATAAAGTGTAATTTGCCTTATATATATATATATATAATTAATATACCTCATTTTCTAGTCAGACATTAGATTACGAAATGAAGCATAATAGTTATAATTAAACCTAAGATGTCGTTACCAAATCGAGCTCATAGCTCGAGAGACCACACAAGATCATACGATCAAATCATAAGTGCAAAAAAATGTTAGTGACTTATCTCACATCGTTCACCTAAAAACACCCAAATTTAGTTCTTGTAGTAAAAGAAGACTTTCTATTAATTACAAATTAATTTTGAGTTAGCTGCTTCTAATATCCTTAACACATGGGCATTATGACATCCGTCACACTCCATTCATCATTTGAATCCCTGTGTTTCTCCCCTGCCCAACACTTTTTACTGGCATGTTGATAGGGGATGTAAAAACATTGAATAAAAGTGATAATTGAAAATTTTATATATATATATATATATATATATTTCATCTAGGAGTTTTAATTTAATTAAGATTTTATTTTTTTTAGTATTTGATTACTTAAGAGATTTTATTAATTTCATGGTTTATCATACCATAATTTTGTATAATATTTAATTACTGAGATTATGATTCCCGTATTTCTTTTCTTTTCTTTTTTTTTTTGTCTCCTTCTGATCTTGTTGATGCTGCGTCACATAAATAATGCATAATGGATTTCTCACTTAGAACCTGTCTAAATCTAACCAGGTCACAAAGTTGGTTCTCCATTTATTTATTTATTTTAAATATATTTTGATTTTTTGATCCATTTAGTTGTTTAAACACTCAAAAAAGATTCTCCTAAAGCAGCATTGGATGCTTACTTCTTGTAAAAGAGCTTGAAGTCATTATGACACACACAAATGCCTACATTTTCAAGTGGCGATAGAAATCAAAAAAAGCTAGGCACCTAGAATTTGTGAATGTGTGGTAGAAATTAAACTGATAAAGTGTGGAGTCAATGAGTGAAATAAATTTGAACAATTGATTTTTATTTCTAGGTAAATTCTAAGTAGATAATTATGGGTTTGTAGTGTTGTTGGATAGAAATTCAAAAGGTTAACCTATTTAAATTTGACCTTGAAGAACAATAAGCGAGGGTAAATTCAAATTCAGATTTACCCTTTGCACTTTAACCAAATAGAACATCACAAAAACAAAGTCCTTGGAAAGAGCTCACAAGCGCACAGAACCTATGTATCTTAATCTATTAGACACTATCAATCTAATAGATTTGATCCGGCCCGACCCGGGCCTTGAAGGCTCCTGCCAAAATTTGGGCCGGATTAGGCCGGACCACGAATTTAAAAAAATAGGCCCAGGCAATATTCAGGTCTCGGGCCGGGCCTGGACTCAGGCTTGGAGTGGGCTTGGCCAATTTTTTTTTGTTTTTATTTTTTATTTTTTTTATCAAAATTTTATTATTTTTCACTAAAAAAAATATTGGGACTCGGGTGGGGTGGGCCTTGAGCGAGCCTTAAGCGGGCCAATGGGTCGGGCCCACGGGTTGGGCTGTGCTTCAAAATGATGGCTCAGGATCTCAGACTGGACTCGAATTTGGGCCTAAACGGGCCTGGCCCACCTCGGGCCGTGGGCGCCATTTTTACACTCTTACATGTCACCATGAGCACACGATTTAGGTTCAACCCAATGTTGGAGAGCTCTAGAAATACGTGTCTATCTTATTCTATGATGTACACTCTATCTAATCTAATCCAGTCACCTGGCGCGGTGCTATTAAAGGCTCACTTAGGCGTACGCTTTGAAACGTCTCAAATCATGCGATATAAACAGGCCTTATGAGGCATGTGCCTTTTTTTAAATGTTTGTTTATTACAATTACAACCATTAATTTCACTTGATCACATTATCTTTTTTGTTTACATGCTGCTACAAGGGATTAAACACTTAAACATATATATCAACCCAACACTTCAAGCCCTAATTATACAAAGTTGTTGGCTGAATAGAACTTTCTCTTCAACCAAACTGACAGTTGCCATTATTCTTGTTTTGCATCTCCTCTCAATCTCTTTCTCCTTCTCTATGCTCATCTTGTAAAGCACTTCGATTCCATTGCTATTTTCAAATATTTATGATTTATGAGTTAGATAATTGTAGCTATGTGCAACCTTGAATTATTTGTCTATGCTAAAATATTGATATATGTTGGTATTTATGTTTTAAATATACCTTGAATTATATTAAATTATCTATTTTTTATTGTCAACATGAGCCTTGCTTTGATAAAGCTCGCACCTTGCCTTGAGCCTAGGCCCTAAAAAACCTTGGCACTTCGCTGTGCCTATCGTCTTTAATAACACTGACCTAACTGGGTCATGCCATCATAAGTGCACAGTGGGTTCAACCCAATTTCCAACAGATTTGATTGCATGTTTATGAGAGGAGCGCACTCAGGTATGACAAAATTCAGAGAGAATAATGTGAAAACGGGAAAGAAATGCACTACATCGATTGAACTCAACGAATCCAAGTTCATGAATACAAATTATCTAATTGTCATTAACAAATAAACAAAGACAGAGAATAACATGAGAACAATGGCAATTTAAATATTATGACAAGTCACATTTCTACACAACAAATAATTACATTATGAAGAACTAATCATACAAAGAATTAATTAAATATTTGGGCTAGCACACAAAATACAAGAAAGCACACTACAGTCTTTTGCAAGTGCAAACAAATGAGCCCAACCGAGTCAGAATTAAAGAACAGGAGGTACTGAAAAGACTTAGGAGGAGCCAAACCTTGCAGCTTTCTTTACTGAAAACACGCGCCGCCTTTAATTCCGTCTTCACATAAGCTCAATGGTGGCACATTCACCGTACTTTGATTTATTGTCCCTAGTGTTCATACCATAATTCGTTTAATTCCCATTGCAGTCACTTTGTCAGGGATCTCTCTAAATCATGTGAAGCAGGTTTTGGACAATTTCCGACATTGGTGGCCTAAATTCTGGCTCAGGCTACAGAAGAAGATTGGATATCAGGCCAACCATTCTCTATAAATGAGTTAGTGTAGCAAAACAGAGATCAAAGAAAATGAAGGAAATGGCATACACCATTGCGTAGAATCTTTTTGTTTCCAAGTCATAAACAAGAAAAAATAAATAATAGTAGATACACAGAATTGGTAAGGGTGAATTCTTATTTATAGCATTTTGTGTGTCATTTTAGCACAAGCAAAACACACTTCATATGGATTTGTCACAACCTACTCCAGCAATGTGTAATATTTATTGTGCTAAAATAACGAAATTAATTTAAATCAAAATTACAAAATAAATAAGTGGACTTAGACACAGATGTAATTTTTATCTTTACATTTAAATATCTCATTTATCTTCATTTTTTGTGCATGGGACAGCAACCTTCAAAAATTCATAAATCAAGAAACTCGCTTTGAATTCAACCAAGTAAATATTTTTGCTCATGCAATGTCAAACTAACTCTCACTTGATTTATCTTCACATGACACATGGTTACAATTAATGTTTAATAGCGACAAATAATTATAATGTCATAGGTGTAATTTTTACCCCAAAAGAAAACAGTCAACTGATGATTGAGGTTGTAATATAAAATAATGATTATTTAGCACATCATATACTACTAGAGTGAGTGTTGTTTGTCACATCATGCTCTTTTAGCACTGCTACACCCAAATACTACATTGCTGGAGATCCTCTAAAAAATTTATAGTATTTGTGAAACTCGAGACTTCCTCTGATCAATTTATGCTTGTTTCCAAAACAAAAGTTCCTAAAAAAAATTGAAAACATAATTAAAATGCAAAATTGGGAAAGAGGGAAAGGATGAAAGAGTTACCTGAAGACATAGGGAAATTATATCAGCAAAGCGTGATAAAGACTTTGAAGGATATGCTCCATTTAAAGAAGGATCAACCATCCTTGATAGTGCGTCTATATCATGAAGCCGAGGAATTGCCCATCTAACCAAGAATTTCTCTCCACGAGGCCGCGACCTAGACATTAAATTTTAAGTTATACCCAATCTCAAAACATTTGACCTTTGTGTAACTTAGCCGAGTTGATAATAATTAGCTCCTTTTGGGAATGTGGTAATAAGCCACGTTTGGGAGTTTGTTCAAAAAGCCAAACGCGGCTTTTTTGTCCTGGAACCCATTTGGGAGGCTAATAAAACGCAGCATGAAAATTTACAATTATACCCTCCATTATTTGCAGGTGCTGGAGATTGAGAGGAGAAAATTTGTAATTATACAATAGGGAAGGGGTATTTTGGTATTTTTACATTATGACATGGTGACATGACATCATAAACAGATATTAACAAAGAAAGTAAAAAAGCCACTTATTACCAACTTTCCAAATCACTTTTCAAAAAAGCCAAAAAGATTGGTTAAAAGCCAAAAGTTAACTTTTAACCATCTTCCCAAAATACCCCATAGCAATTAATATAACCATGCTAAGCACCACACAAGTATATCATAAATTTATGGGATCACAAACCTGTCATACGATTTTCGCCCTGTGAGGATCTCCAACATAACAACTCCAAAACTGTAGACATCACTCTTGCTAGAATAACTTCCCAACTCGAGCTCTGGAGCACCATAACCATTACCTGACAACTGATAAAATGCGCTGATGTCAACACCATCTAGGAATAACTGAAAACTAAATTCAACCATCCAGCTCAATACAAACAGATTTTGCATCAAGCTGATTCGATGTGCCACAGTACCGCCCTCAGAAGCCCATACACTACTAAGAAGGTGTGTGTCCGCATCCAAAACTCATTGGACACATCCAAATGTGTCATATTTTATTTTTTATTTTTTTATACCCAAGGAAAGTTTGAACACTTAGGAAATGCATATATCCGTCGTTTAGACACACGTGAGACCTTATAAATTTGAACAAAATAACTTAGAAGATACAATGACAAATATATATCCTTTAAATTTGAATAAAATTCTGCTCAACAATTCTTGGTGTTACTGGTTCCTTAGTTCTACATCAGTTTATGGAAACATGTAGAAACAGTTGCAAGCATATAAAAAGGATACTAAATATCCTCAGTGCAGTGGATATGCAAGAAGCATTTTCACTCGTTCACCCAAAATAATCTGAGTTCCCCTAATGGGAATAGAAGTAATAAAAAATAAGTAGAAGCCAACACAGCCTGAATTGTGTCATTGCTGTATCCGTGTCCAACACTATTAAATTACCAATTGTGCCAAAAGCTTAAGTTGTTAGAAAATGGACCAAACAACGTATATCAAGCTATTCAACACCCTCCCACACATGCAACCTTATCTTGCATGTAGAAATGCAAACGTCCATCCATACATAAAAAGAGATAGAATACAAACAGGAACCAAATGCAAGCAGAGAGACCTAAACCCAAGCTCTCTTACACACTAAGCTCTGACACCATGTTAAATCACCAACTTGAGTTATAAATTGCATTTGTGATGTAAATAAATAATTTACTTTCATGCATACATGTAAAATCTATATTTATTTGGGCATCATGTCCTAAATTTTTAATAATTGACACTTTCGCATGCTATATCATGTCGTATCAATGTCCAACGTTCATATCCATGCTCTTTAGTGTGCAAGTGACACATAAACACAAATCGAAGTTAACCAACACTTGATATTCAAAGCAGAAAAAATTGAGTTGTGACAATTAGCGCATACTCAAAGATTCATGTTTTAACAACCAATTATCAACCAATTTAAAGATCAAATGACAAGCAATTACCTGACTTTCAGAGACACGTGATATTAGAGGAGCCAAACCACAATCTGAGACATGTACTGCAAGCTCATCATCAAGAAGGATATTGGCAGACTTTAAATTTTTATGTACAATGGGCGGTTGACAAACTTCATGCAGATACCTTTGCCACAAAAAAAATAAAAATTACAAATTAACAATGGACACATAAGACTTTGCAAACAACTGCAATTAGAAAGAGGTTCAACCATTTCAATCAATTACCCCATCTGGGAAATATACTATGCACTCAATGTAGGGGATAGAAAATCAAAATCTGATTCTAAATCTCCAGAGTCTCCCCCAAGAAAGACTTCTTTCAAAATCAAAATCTGATTCTAATAAACACGTTTTCTAATTATGAGCCTGTTGGTCACAACTTCTAGCAAGCTAAAAGTTGATAATCAAATAGCATAAACTAAAAGCATCTCTTCCATTGCCTTCCAAAAATTAGCTTTTCCCAGCTTATTTAAGTTTTCTCTGTCTCATAAGCCATAGGCAGAAGCTACACAGCCTGGCATAGATTACAAAATATAGACGTATATATATATAAGCAGCTCCATAAGATGCATCAAACAGCCCCTATGGTGTCTAGATTTGATGAAATAAGTGACAGTCACTCTACTTACTCTAGGGCTTTTGCAGCTCCAAGAGCCAAGCGGATGCGAGTGTGCCATGATAGTTGCCTATGGATTTCGTCATCCAAGTGCAATGCTTCATGAAGTGTTCCGTTTTTGCAATACTCGTACACAAGTAGCTGCTGTCCATGCTCAGCACAGTACCCCACAAGCTCAACTACATTAGCATGTTTAAGCTTGGAGACACTAAACACTAGCTCAAGGAAATCTTCATTGCTCTGCTTCCTGCAAGCTGTAGTATCGAGTTTCTTGACCGCTAGTAGCTAAGAAAAACATAATTAAGTCAGAAGAGATTCTGTGTCAAGAAAGGAAATAGAATCATCAAGCTTCTATTCAAAACAAATCATTCACATTTCCTGCATTCCAGACCAGAAACCCTCTCAATGAAAGCATTCAACCAACACTAGAAATAAATGACAATTATCTACCAGAGCCGCAAACAAAACTATATCAAAATTTGTCTAGAAAATCAGTCTAATTCAAATCAGAAAAATGTTACCTTTCCAGTGGGAATCACAGCCCTGTAAATGGTACCAATGATGCCTCCTCCAATAAGATTTTCTTGAGAAAAGCTATTAGTATATTGTTGAAGTGATGCAATGGTGAAGGACCGTACAGAGTTCGGAGTTTTGTTAAAACGTCTCGACATGGGTCCTGGGGGAAGAATTGGATTTGCAGTAATCTTGTCAACTGGAAGAAATGGGGGAGGAGGTCGTGGGCGTGGTGATGACATAATATCTTCATCCAGTCCCAACATATCTATCTCATGATACTCCTTTTTCTTTGGAATTGCAGCCATTCTCTTATTATCTTCCTGCACGGTGTCTGACTGTAACCATAAACTGCTTCTTTCATGATCTTTTCTATATCCAACCGGTGGCCTCAAAATCAAACCTGCCTCTTTATGACCTGCTCACAAATCTCAAGGGGTCATTTGCCAAGCAAAATGAGAAACATTTACAAGAGAGAAAAAAAAAGAAAAAAAAAAAAAAGGAAAACCAAAAAAAAAGATTTAACAAGTGAAAAATAAGTAAATGGGTAAGAATGAATAACCTTTCTCTATAGGGCTATATAATTTTGGCAAAGATTCATTATTCCTCGGCTTCTCGTTGGAGTCATTATATGCACCCATTTCATGATTCTTGGCAAATTTTCTGACTTGTTGACTTCCTTTGCAGTATCTAGACATACAAAAGCACAGTCCTATGGCAAGCACTATAACTATTACCAACCCTCCAATAGCAATCCAAGTGACCCTTTTAGTTGTCGAAGACTTTGCTCCTGTCACAGAATTTGGTGCTTTGGGTGCAGGCTTTGGTGTTATTTTGGGTGCAGACGGTCCAAATGCCGGTATTCCAGGAGTTAATGCCGGAGATGGGGCCACAGACGAAGATGGCAAAGGAGATAAGGCAGGGGGTGATGGGATAACAGTTGTGTTAAAGGGATTTCCGTCTCTTCTGCAAAGTAAATGCTAATGTTACCAAAAGAAACAAGAAAGTTACAAATAATATCAGATAATCCAAATGCCAAGTCAAAATACCACATAAATCTAACGCAAAATAAATAGATCATTTCCATTTAAACTTTGCCATTGACAATAAGAACATACCTAGGCTACTAGTACTTTAAATAAATCATTTTACAATTGATAATACTAAAACAATTGCCAGTGTATTACATCTTCAACTAGCCAAAAGCATTTTGTGCGAGTGTTGTAAGCCAGCTAGGAACTTTGACAGATAGGCACCAGAGCTTCTACTTTATCAAGGTTGTATAGCATTAAGAAGTTGTTAAGTACCAACTTTGAGTGGAGAATTTAATCATGATATAGGGATTCTAGCACTTGGGGGTGGGGGGGGGGGGGGGAATGGATTTGAATGATTGATAGTGTAACTCAGACAAGGTAAGACATTTGTGGATGACATATCATTTATTGAGATATAGTGTCTATCAAACCAATTGCTGACCAAATAATAGGATTAAAGTTAAAAATTTACATTCTAAAGATTGCTAGCAGAATGAGCTATAGCAATGATGTTTCAGTAAGCTTATTGGTTAACTTCATATTGGTTAGAAAATGTCAAATTAAAGTAAAAGGAATCTAGGGAAGCATTCGCTTAACAAATTAAAGCAAATCCAACATAAAACTTTTATGTTACCAAGACTCATGACTCTTGATATACTTATACCACACAAAAGCAAATTCAACCTGTACATATAATAAAAGGATGAATTCTAAGTCTTCACCTGAAATTGGGGATATTCAGCAACTTGTCAGGTATAGGTCCAGAGAACAAGTTATTTTCAATGTTCCTAATTAAGAAGGGAAAAAACAGGTTACGAGCTGCTAAAGTCAAATTATTTGAAGTCATAAAGCAAGACAGGAGAGTACAGATCAGTCAGGGGAAGATCTTGTAGAGCATCAAGGACCCCAACGAGTTGATTGTTCTGCAAATGCCTGCATCACCCGAAATATATATAACTCAAGAAGATAAGTGAAAATGAAAAAGTAAGAAACTTTATCTATATAATTACTGACAGTGTAGTAAGAGATGACAAGTTCCCCATAGAAGGAGGCAGTTGACCACTCAAATTGTTACCTGACAGATCCCTGCAAAGCAATAAACAATCAGAATCGAAACTTACCAAAGTAACCATTAATGAATGATAGCAAAATGACAGGGATACCATACAAGTTTATCAAACCCATAAGCTGTTGAAAGGCATCTGGTATTTCTCCGGTTAAATGGTTATCATTAAACGACCTAAGAAATGCATACAAAAATGTGATGACATTTCAACAACTTGAAGTCAAATGAACACAAATTGAATCGAACTTACAAGTCCGACAATTGACCTAATGCTGACAAATTTTCCGGGATGCTTCCAGTGAACTGGTTACCCGAAAGAAAACTAATCGTCAAAGGAAAAACAGAACTTCAGTAGGCAATGTGCATCATAATGATATAGAAATGACACAAATAATAATAAATTTTGGCCAAACCAGCTTATCAAAATATTGATTAAAAAAAAAAAGGGGTTGAAACGTACAAGGTCCTGATGGTAATGGGCAAATTGGATGGAATACTACCTCCAATGTGGTTGTTGCTCAAATCTCTGCCTCATTATTAAGTAGAAAAGGCAAAAAGGCACACAATTAGTGTTAGGAATCCAAAAGACCTAACCAAGATTAGTGAGAAACAAAACACAAAGAAGAACAAATGTACAATAATGATAAATCACACGCACACACAAAGGACATGAAGTTTATGTGGTTCACCCCAAAACTAGGTTTACGTCCACATCCGGTGCTGTTTCACTATGATCAAAAAGGCTACAAGAATTTGGGCAACAAGACCCTTAGATTTTTTTGATCCATAAAAGCCTCAATATATTAGCAAGTATCAAAAACTGCAAGAAATTCATTATGTTTAGCCCAAGATAGTTAATTCTTCCACCTCTATAGGGGGACCAATCATTCAACTAGTATGTTAACTCATGAAGGACCTATGCTTTGAAACAAAGCCATAGATATAGCTTCAAGTAAGTCTCACTAACAGCAGCTGCTATTGAATCTAGACAACTTTGATTGACTATGAACCTCATCTTATATCCCTCCCCATGTTATGTAAGAGACAAATGGAATATATTCATAAAATGTTGCTTACATTTGAATGATAGAAGAAAAATTTCCTAAGTCATTTCCCAGTTCACCGCCCAAATTCGCGCCAGTGAGAACTCTGTCAACCCAAACAGCTTAGAAATCAGAATATAAAAAACTTCCTACTGGGATATAACATATGGAAATGGTTACCATACATTCCAGTTATGTTGGCATTGACGCACTGTACACCTTGCCAACCATCTGCACACGGGTCTCCTCCAAATGGCATCCACCCAGGAAGAATCGGGAAGCCCAAAGCAGCATATAAACTATTTATTGCAAAAACTGCAAAAATAAAATACCAAATTAATTATTAAGAAAATCACTGGAAAATCATATACAATTCCAGAATGAAGAAAAACAGTAAACTGGAAAACAAAATACTGAATGAATTATGGTACATTGGTAATCACTATAATCTATATACATTACAAACAGATCGGAATGGAATGAAAATGAAAATTAAAAAGAAAAAAAGAAATGGGAGTGGTATGATTTACCATCGCGAGGGTCGGTTGTTCCACGGCACATTGGCACCAAGAAAATTGTCATCAGCCCCGAGAAAATCCAGACATATCTTTCCCAAATTATACAGCCCATTTCATCAATTGCCACCCCAGATTTTCTATAATTTTCTTTCCTTTGTATACTACTTTTTTTCTCAGAAAACCTGACAAATACCCCAGAAAGTCAAAATCTCAAAGCAAATGAAATTAAAAATTGAAAGAAAAGCAAACCCACTAGTCTCTAAACACCACAAACAATTTACAGATGCAACAAACAAACAGACCTCTCAAAGGGTTCACGTAAAATCGAACCAGAGGACAAAAGAAGAATATAATTTGAACTAGTAAACATCCAAAAAAGGAAAAACCCATAAAAACCCAAGTGGGTTTTACAGACAATAGATCAATATATTGATCAGCACAGATTGAATAAAACAAAACCCAAGTAAAAAACAGAGTTCGTGATTCAAGAAAAATGAGAAACCCTAACCTTGAAAAGAGTGAAAGTGTTGTCCGAAGCACGAAGAGTCGGGAATCTGAGAGAGAGAGAGAGAGAGAGGGGTCTCTGTGAGTGTGTGTGAAACTGAAAAGCAAGCACACTGAGCAGAGCCAACTTTGTACATCTTTATGATTTAAATATGAAAGGAAAGGAGATATGTATATCATAATATTTTTAAAATGAGAAAAGGATTGATGTAATTTTTTTAAATTCAAAAAAAAAAAAAAATAAGAAAAAATAATTGTACCGACGTACCGTTGAGTGGTGCCCTAGTAGTGGCCGTTGTGTTTTTTTTTTTTTTATATAAATTTTTTTTTTAACTTAAGTTTTATCTATAAGAAGAGATTTATGGAACAGATTAATTTAGTAATTTTTTAGTTAATTGGTTAAAATATGAGTTAAAAAAATTAGTATGTTTGGAATAATTTTTTAACTTTTTACGAAAAAATGTGTAAAAAATAAAAAGAAAAGAGAATTTTTAATTTTTTAGTATGGATTGTTAATTTTTTGGCTAATTTAATAATTTTTTGACTTTTTAACTAAAAGTAAGAGTTTTCAAACGAAACCTATGAAAATACAAAACAAAATTTAATTACACTATAAACAAATTTAAGATTCGATCAAAATATAGAGTAAGATTTCTAAATCTGAATCACACCGGTAAAGAAGAATGTTTTCGATACTGAGCTCCCACCCTGGTGGTGGTAGTGGCCAATGTTTGGGTTTGGGTATTTTCACTTTTTGATATTGCAATTAGGTACACCAAAATCAAATTAGAATGTTATGATGACATTGGTGGGTTGTTTGGTGCAGTCTTGAGCTAATTATAATTTATTTCAGATTAAAATTTTTTGTTAGATTATTATAATTTTTCTTTTACAGTTATTAAATAGAAATAATTTAAATAATTTTTTAAAAAAATTATTTATTTTACAAGATGGATGAATGATGTTTTTAATTTTTAAATTTAAGACTATGTTTGACATGTGAGGTTATGATTATTTTAATTACAAAAAGAAAAAATAGATTAAAAAGTCAATAAGGCTTGGTTTGGGAAGTGGGTTGGCTTTTTGACTTTTTAACTTTTTTGGCTATTTTAGCCTGGGCTTAAAAGCTTGGTTTGGGAAGAGTTTTTTGACTTTTTGGCTTTTTTGAGTTTTTTTGTGAGAGAAAAATGTAATGATTATGGGTTGGATGTGATGTTTTGTTTGTTATGGCTAAAATAGCCTATTTTGTTTTTTGTGGCTAAAATAGTCAAAAAAGCCTGCAAACCCACTTGCCAAACACAGGCTAAGATAAAATGTCACATTTAAACTATACTCATTTCATTTTTTCTCTTAAAAAAGTCAAAAAACTCAACACAAATGAAACTTTTTAACCTAAACTAAAATAGTTAAAAAAAATCAAAAAACTAATACACTACCCAAATGAAGGTTAAGTTATACTAAACAGGCTCCATGTAGTTTAAAAACAATGGATTCTTTAATTATGTTTGTTTGATTGTTGTGTAAAAGTAAATTTATTGATTAAAAAAGTTAACTTATTTGGTAAGCTTATTTTTCGTTGGAAAGTTAAATGTTAATTTGTTTGGTACTTTTTGTACTGGTTTGGCAAAGGTTACGAAACTAAAATTGTATCAAATAAATTAAAAAGTTAATAAGATAAATTGTTACATCTAAATCATAATCATTTTATTTTTTTCTCTCATAAAAGTCAAAATAGTCAAAAAGTTCATCTCAAACAAAATTTTTTAGCCTCAAACTAAAATAACTAAAAAATTAAAAAATCAACCCACATTCCAAACAAATCCTTTGTATTTTTTTTATTAACATTTTATAATGGTTAAAGTAGATTTTTTTAAAATGAAAAATGAGTTTATCAAACGAATAAAAATTGTTTTAGTTAATAAACTAGCTTTCAATCCACAGTTAGCTCATTTGACCAAAGTAACCTTTTTCCCTTTTCACCCCCCAAAAAAACAAAAAAAAATTAGTGTGATCTCCAATTGAAAAAAAAAATTGTGATATGATATTATATGAAATTCAATCCAAATGCCACACCTCGTTTGGCATGTAGTCTAAAAGTCTAAAAGTTATTACAAATTTTTATATTATTTTATTTTTTTTGCATATTTTTTATAAAAAAAATTAAAAATTAATTAAAATAATCAATTCTCAAACCAGACATCTCAATAGCACAAATATGTTCACTTTGATTGACTAGTGCTATGAGGGAGCTCATATAGTATTTTGGGAAGTAAGTTAAAAACCATTTTTTAGTTTTTTTTGGCTTTTTAAAAAAAATGTAAAAAAATAGAAAGGTGATATGACTCAAAAAAATTAAAAAATTAGCTTTTAACCAACTTGTGAAAATAATCAATCCAGACTAAACATGTTTATAGTGTTCGGTCTGACTTTCAAATTAAATAATAGTGTTTTTCTTTAAAATGACATAAAAAGAGAGCGAAAACAAAGTGATTACATGAAAATAAATTAAAAAAATAAGAATGTTAGGTGCATAAAGGGTATTGTGTACAGAATGCACAACCCTTATGTGAGAGGGTTGCGAATTATGTGCACAATACTCCTTGTGCATTTAGCATTCTTCTTAAAAAATTCTCTCACTTATTTTGTTCTACTAGGTCTATTAAGGGACCTCAAAATTTGATAAAACATTTGGAGCCTTTTAGCAATTTTTGTTAACAAAATGTTACCAAATTATGATAATTGAAAGGCTAGTCATTTGAAAGGGAAAATACTTCGTAGCTCGAAAAAAACTTGGCCCGAAAATGGCTCGAATATTCAAAACGACATCGTTTTGGGTTTTTTTCTTTTTAATTTTTTTCTTTCCCCTCTCTGAAACCGACAGAAGAAAGAAGAGAAGAAGCGAGACAGACAGAAGGAGAAAAGATGGAGAGAAGAAGGAGGAAGAGAAGGAGAATGAGAAAAAAAAGATGGAGAGAATGAGGAAAATAAGAAGAAAAACAAATAGAGGGATCTGTATACACACAGATCTGATGGTGATAGCGTACAGAGGAGATGGTGATGACGGCGCCGGTGGGTGGCGCTCTCTCTTTCTCTCTGTTGGTGGGTAGCTCTCTCTCACATATATATATTGTGTGTGTACACTTTTTCTTTTTGCTTTTTTTTTTTCCTAATGGGATGAGAGGGAGAGAAGATGAAGAAGACGAACGAAAGAGAAAAAAAAAAAAAAAAAATTGTTGATTGATGATTGTTGGTTGTTGTTGATGACGATGTGTTGTTGAAATTTTTTTTCAGATTATTTTTTATTTTTTATTTTTGTGATTGTTGGTTGTTAATGATGATGTGTTGTTGTTGATATAAATCAAGATCCACCACCACTACCGAACTCTCTATTTTTGATTTGTGGGTTTGATTTGAATTTAATTTTTGGTTTTGATTTGTCTGATTGGTTTTATTTTTGATTTTTAGATTTGAATCTCTCTGCTCTATCTCTTTCCTCTCCTCTTCTCTTCTTTTTTCTTTTTTCTTCTTCCTTCTTCCTTCTCTCCTCTGAGTTATGAAACCTGCGAGTTATGGAAAGGAAGAAGAAAAGAAAAGAAAAAGAAAAAGAAAAAACTAAAACAATGTCGTTTTTGATTTCGGGTCACTCAAGCCCCTAATTTTTCGAGCTACCTAGCAAGGTTGATTTGAAAGTGTTAAAATCAGAAGATTTTTTTACCTAACTATGATAATTGAAATTATAATAGATGCAAAAGCTAGGCTTGAAGCTTCGTAGTTATAAGAAGGAAGAACCACATCTTATATAACTTGTCAAAAAAGTCAAAAATCAAAGACATATTATAAAAGACAACAATAATATTACATACTCAAACTTTTATTTTAAATTTTACTTATAGATATCAATGTGTGGTTTAAATTTTTTTAGGTGAATATGGTTCAAATTTATTCTATAATAGGATTAACAACACATAAAATACACATTGCATCTCAACCACACTTAACAATTCTGCAATCACTTCTTGGTATATTCTAAGCACATAGCATTAGTAAAAATAAAATGAGGAATACAACCTTTTATCATTCTTCTCCAACTAAATAAATAAAAATAGTGCTATAATGTCACAGAAACACAATTTCATAGCAATCTTGTGGCTCCAAGAATAAATAAATAAATAAAGAAAAAAAAATATATAAGAATAAATGTATAATCTTCAAATTCTGAGTCTACAAATACCCAAAACATGCAAGCCGCTTTCCTCTATTTGGAGAGAAGTTTAATTCTATTGAGTAAAGCACTTGAATCTCACTATAGATTTCACTTTATAAAAAATAAGATTGATTCGATAATTATAATTATATCGTTATGCTTGTTTTTAAAAATAGATAATAAATATTATTTTAAAAAATTTTGTTAGTTTTTTATTGATAAAAATATATGTCTATTGTTATCAAATCATAGATAAAACAAAATCAATCTCCAACTGAAGAGAAATTGGATCTTTTTAGGGGAAAAAAACTAACAAATAAACAAAAATGAATTATGAACAAAAGACAGAATTGATTAGGTCTCGTTTGGGAACAGACTAATTTAGTAACTTTTTAGCTATTTGGCTAAAAAGGTAGGTAAAAAAAACTTATATGTTTGGGATGACTTTTTGGCTAATTACGAAAAGATGTACAAAAAGTAGAGAGAAAAGAGAATCTTTGACTTTTTTGTATGAGTTGTTGGCTTTTTAGTTAATTTAGTAACTTTTTGACTAATTAGCTAAAAAAGTAAGTCCCCAAAATAAAACTATGGGCCCCACATTCAAAATATTGATCACACTTAAACATGTAGACTATGATATTTTAAATCAATCAAAATTTATGTTGTATTTAAACAACTTAGAAGTGTTTTAACAAGAAAAACATAGAATAGGGGAGGAGTCTTTGTTCATG